ACCCATCCCCTCCTCCCCTTCCAACCCCAAGGAAAGTGACAAAGTTCTGTTCCATCAGCCTGGCTAATCCCAAGCTAGGCCCATTTGCAGTTTACAGTCTCCCATGGCTCTTAATCAGTTGTCCAAGCCTTGGTCTCCTCATTCATCCAACCATCTTCCCCTGGCAAGTCTGTGCCATAAATCATTCAAGGTGTATTTAAAATAGTCACTTCGCTGTTGTTGCTCTGCCTTTTTTTTTTTTTTGTACTTAGCCAAGGACTACTTCTTTGTTCCAAAATAGAACTGTTCATTATTGATCTTAGAGATTCCCTCTGCTTTCCTGTAGCCTCCAGTGTTTGCTCATTACCATGCTCATAATCTGTTTTGTATGAATGGTTTTCAACATTCAGAGAATAATTGGTTCTAATATTAAATGCAGTATATACTATTGATAGTTTTATCGATAAGTGTAATATTTTAAATAATTTTAACAATTAAATTTGTTTTTTAAATTATATATTTGTAAAGTATTTATCCTGTTGGAAGCAACAATATATTGTTGTATTTATTCGTTTATTTTTGTAATAAATGATCAACCTCGTCAAGCTAAATCAAAAATGACACTTTTATATATTTATAAAAAATGCACTTTAAGAGATGGGCATATTTGCACCAATTTGTATGTAAATAGAGTAAGATACATCAATAACTTGTAGCTTTCAGAACTAATTTGAAGGAAGAAACAGTCTCTCCACATGGAGTTTAGTTTGTTCAAGTTGCAGGGTAATTAATCAACTATAAAATGGATGCAACAAGTATTGGCACTGGATGCAGACTTGAAATTAATTATTTAGGAGGTGGACCTGGTTTTTTTTTTGAAGGCAGAAAGATAAAAATTAGAGAAATCTATTTTTTTATGAAATGCACATGGCTGGCTGTACCTATTAGAACAGATGCTGTGTTTTAATGGTAAAAAACTAATACCTGACTATGCTCAGATATCTATGTTGGGGAACGAAGTTGGAAGTTTGAGTTTATCACTGACCCAAAAGCAAGGTGCTGTAAAAAAAAAAAAAAATTGTGCTAGGTTAAAAAAAAAATTAGATCCTTTAAAAGTAACTGGCTGGAGAAAACTCTTTTCTCCTAGTCCTGCTACTGAAAGTATAAGCTATCAGTACAGGTGGTCTTGTAGTTCTTAAGAGTGATGCAATTAAGAAGTGTGGGGCCACCTCTCCTGCTCTTTAAGTTCTGTAGGGCATTTGGTCATCTCAGTTCCTCAGGGCTGCTGGTCTGAGGGCCTGAAGGTCACCTATGTGACCTCCAGGCTGCGGGAACCCCACTGTAAGCTTGATCTTGATTTCAGTAAGGAATCAGAGGGCTCTGCGTTTGCATCCTGAACGTTCCAGCCTAGGGAAGGAAATAGTGCGCAGGCTGGAAGAGCTGGGGGTGGGGGCAGCGGAGATAGCAAGAGGGGTACTTGTGTAATCAGATTCTTTGATTTTGTTAGCCTGGCTCATGGCCTATTAATTAGATTACTCTCTCTTTCATTCTTGATTTCACATCCGTGTTTGTTCCTGTATCCTAAAATGTGGGCGCGAGCTTGGCAAGCAGGAACCTATGATGTCACTGCCGGCCAGCGCGGCCGCCTGGCCTTCTGGCGGGCTGTGGGCTGCGTCCTTGATGAGTCCGGTCTTCCTCAAGGAAGAGCCGGCTCTGGAAGTGACCTCAGAGGGGTCTGGGAAGAGGGCAACAGGCATTATTGTCGCGGTGGCACGGTGCATGCGCTAGTGTGTGAGTGTGCGCGCGCGCGCGCGTGTGTGTGTGTGTGTGTGTGTGTGCGTGTGTGTGTGTGTGTGTGTGTGTGCGCGAGTGCCTTGAGCAAGTGGGTGCGTGTGAGGGGAGGAGGATGCAGAAATTCGCGGTCTGGACTCAGAAGCTCTAGGGATGCAGGCGATTTGGTCAGGTGCAGGGCCTGCCTCTGGCAAAAACCTGGGGTCAGAGGACACAGGGGGAAGGAGGAGGACCCAGGGCAGCCAGGCACCAAAAACCCGCTTCCCCCCGGGAGGGAGGGCAGGACTGGGCGCGGAGGTAGGGCGGTGGCGGTCGCTGTGGGGCGGCCGGGTCCCTGGTCGACCCGGCACGGCCTGGCGGCCCAACTGTGGCAGCTGCTGCGGGTCCCACAAGTTGTTTTCCTCGTGGCGACCATTCAGCAAAATGCACGATCCTTTCTCAAAGATTTAAATTTCGCGGATGAATTACCATACACCGGTTGCTTAGCAACTAAATTCAAGCAGGGCTAAGAATATGCAAGCTTTTTGTATTCTCATTAATAAAAATGCCACTCTGACACAGCAACCCGACTTTGGATCACTGCAACTTCTGTAAAAGCCGTAGGAGAATACAAACCGATCCTGCCTTTCAATTACAGATCAAAATGGCTTGAAACGCGATGTTTTGTTCATCTATCTTCCTAAAAGCGATGTAAAAAATAACGGCTTTCAAGAGCAGTAGTAAATTCTTCTTCTTCTTTTTTTTTTTAATGGAGTTGTCTATTGGGGTTACTGATAATTGTCAACTGAAACCTTTTGAAACACAGGTTGAAATATCCCTTTTCATCAACATTTCTACTTTCCCCCTCAGACCCCCCCTACTCTCTGATCCTGTTCTCCTTCTTCGGCCTAATTAATAATAACAACTATTATTGTTGTTGTTGTTGTTGTTATTCTAGAAATACTCAGGCCTTAGGAGCTCTAGACACTAAAGGGCAGTTAGCAAAGTAATCAACAAGCCCGGCGGCTGGAGAAAGTCCAAGGAATAGAGGAGAGAGGGAGAGAAAAGGAAACTTCTGAAAGTTTCCTTGGAAGGTGGGGAGAGTCCCTGAAGGCCGGAGTCGCTCAGGTCCCAGAGGTCCTGGCGGTGACTTTCTGGAAGGCCTGTGGGAAGTAAGGCAGAATGCCTATGGGTCTCTGCTCTGCGTTTGCGGATTCTCCGTCCTGGGCTCCAGCATCCTCTCCGGGGATAAAATCGCTGCCTCTCCCTCTGCAGACAGCGGAGTGCCGAGGGGTTGAGTTCAGGGCCTGGCTGACCCGGGCTCTCTTTCTGAAATCCATTTCCCTGCCGCCCGGAGCCCTGGAGCAGAGGCCGCAGTAAAGACGGAGCTGGACCCGTGACCCCCTGGGTCTTCAAAGCCTGTGGCCCAGCCCAGAGACCAGAGCCTGCAAATTCGGTGCGGGGCGCACTCTGCGTCTCCTCCCGCAGGATGCCGCGCGGGGAGGGAGATGTGCTGCCTCGGAAAGAGGTTCCAACCCACGATCTTTTGCTGCAGTCCGAATGTGCGGGGGGCCAGGGGTCAGAGCAGAAGGGCCTCGTGCGCGCGCCGGTCACATTGTCTGGGAGTGCGCTGACGTCCAGGCGGCTGGGACTGCGGAGCGGGGGCAGGGCGGGAGGCGGCCGGCGGCTTTGTGGAAGTTTTGGGCGGCTGGGCCCTGCTCACCGCACTGGGCGGTCGAGTTCTTGGGTAGCCCCGGGCGCTGGGCCCACGCCTCCGCTTCCCGGGAGTGGGAAACTCGAGCGCGCCCCACCGACTCTAGGGTAGGCTGCCTGGGCCCGGCCTGTCCCCACCCGAGGACTGCGGGCCCGGGCCTGCGGAGCCATAGCACGACCCTGGCGGTGTGCGGGCACCCGCGGCAGGGCAAGGCACCGATGCCAACGGGAGGGCCTGTGCCAGTCCACCCGCCACCGAGATCGCACCCCAGCTTCGGCTTCGCTTCTGAAGCTGCAAATGGAAGCTTTAGAAAGATCCAGGGGCAAAACGAAACCCCCAGATCGATCCGGATAACACCCCCAGGGAGCCGACCCTCCCTTCCCCTACCTCTGCACTTTGGCAAACTTGAGAACTTTAGGGGTACTGCTTCCATAAGTCAGCCGACACTTAAAGATAACGAACCCCACCACTGACTCAGTTTAACCTGATTTCGGTCTAGTGGTACAAAAAGAAAACCAGTGGAACTCAAAAAAACCTTAAGTGGAAATGTTTGCTGTATTACGACATGCTCAGAGGCATTAGAGTTCTTTTTTTTTTCTTTCAGTAAAACATACATAATAAACAGAAAGCCATTTATTTACAAATACAAATGGCCGAGACAAGCCGCATTCCATGTATGTAACTCATTAATGGAATTCGTTCCTTTTCCTCCCTTTGGAAACAAATCTTAGCTTTTAAAAAATGCCATGTCTTGGGAAAGGGAAGGAAAGTGGTTAGTTTACCTGCTCCTTGAAAAAAGAGCAGGATTGCCCCCACCAATTCTCGTCTGTAGGCATGCTAAACAGTATAAAATAACCCTTTAAAATATACTGATAGGTTTTTGGTTTTTTTCACTCTTCAGAAAAGAAGTTTGTTGGGTACAGTTGGTGTCACCAGAGTTGCCCAGTGGAAATGGGCTGGTAGTATCACCTTAGTTGGGGTGTGTGTGTGTGTGTGTGTGTGTGTGTGTGTGTGTAAGCACGTGCCCAGGTGAACAAAACCAAAATGTAAATACTTTGAGCTGGCTGGGAATATACCACAATTGTATCTGTAAAACATACTCAGTTGGTGGCACAGTTTTAGAAAAGTCTAAAACTGGCAATGTAGCTGCTGGCCTGCCTCCTTCCTTAAAGAAGTTATACATAGGTAGAGTGCTAGGTGATGGCTTCCTTGTCACCAGTATGGCCAGGATCACTTACCTTACCTGGAGAACTTGAGTCTGGTCTTTTTTAATTCAGAAAGTTTTTTGTAAGTGAATCCCCTTCCCCTAAAAGTTGGGAGAAGGGTGTTGTTTGAGGGAGAGTTGTTCTTGTTCGGAGGAAGGCAGAATCAAGTGTGAGTTTTCGGTGAGACGCAGTGACTAGCAGAACACACCTGAGATATGTCTGGGCTTTGTAAGTTCCCAATATTTGACATGGTTACAAAGAACAAAAAGAATGGTCACCACCGCCCATCTTTCACTGTTGTAACTACAAAATAATGGGACAGACACTGAGAGGGAAGTGAAAACACTTTTATTTTAATAATTAAGAAAAGGACAGGAGGTGTTTTGACGAAGAGCTTCCTGGGAGATCACATATTTGTTCTGTCTTCTAGGACTACCTCTCCGCAAAAGGCAAGCCCATTTAGTCGGCTGGAACATTGCACACTGAAATAGATAGATATTCATGTCAAAGAGCTCTCTTGCACCAGAGCTGGAATAAAAGGTGTCAAAACCTACCACCCTCACTCTACCAAGGTTCAGACAGGGCAACTTTGAGGTGTGAGTAGGGGCAGACAGGCTAGTTCCAATCTGCACCCTTAAGGGTCTCAGAATGAGGGAGCCTATTTTTCATTTATATTTCCAAGGTTGAAAACTCTCCAGCACAGTTAAAAAAAATTAAATAGGTCTGATCAGAAAGTATAGTATCATCCAGAAACTAACAAAAGGGAAATAAATGTCTTTATAGCTTGGTCTTGAGAATCTTCAGGTTACAATAGTGAAAAAGCCATTAGGGAACAAAATAACATCTACAAACTATTTTTAATTAACATTTTGGGAGGAAAAATGTTTCAAATTTCAAAATTGCTCAGGCAAGCCTACTGATTGATTCTACTTTGTACGCCTTGAACATTTCTGCCAAACAGGGCTTTAAAAATGTTTCAGACCTGAAAGGTCTTTACTCTTCCAATAACTATTTAATAGTTGTCCTGGATGTTTTTAATAAGAGAAAGATTTTAAGCGAGTAGCCTTGAGTTCCACACAGTCTGGGGGAATAGAAGTAGTAGATACTCAAGGCACGGAGCAGCCTGCACCTGAAACGGGATTTCTGCTTTTCAGTGAGGAGGGGCCGGCTGAGGTCAGCTGTATTTACATATGTACCTGATCCCACAGGTTTTCCTCTATTTATCAAAGAGGAAGGCCTGCAGGTGAGGGGGTGGAAGTGAGGGGGACAGAAAGACCAAAGGAAAGATCAGTTACCTCTCCCCTTTGTTCCTGGGCCTTGAACTGGGGTTTCAAGGAGCGGAATAAAAGTCCCCAGGGAATGAAGGTTCCACCTCTATTTGCATCATCCTGACACCCCCACCAGAAAACCAAGCGTTGGCTGATTTAGGGCAAAATGGTAACTTGAGGAATCCCTGTGTGAGTGTGTTACATAACATAACAAAACCCTCTGCAGAGAGAGGTGCACACACTTGATTTTCTCCCAATAACTATGTGCAGGTGGAAAGCCCTAGAAACGGAGAATGAAGACAAGTTAAATAGGTAGACTATGGAGACATGTGTAGCCATATATGATAGGGTGCATGTAAGCTTGTGTGTATGTAAACAGTCATACTTCCACCTTCTGTGTGCCAGGGCATTCTTCAGAGATCCTGCCTAAAGCCGTACCTTGGCTATCTAAGGGGGAGTCACACTTTTTAATGGAGGTATAGGGGGGTGGCAATCGTAACCAAGAATACTGGGAGCTGGTTGCCCTGTAGCCAGTAGGAACCAGGTTAGTTCACATCTGTGTCATCCTCAACCAGCACTTTTTGTCAGAATCCTCAAATCCTTAGTGGGAGAGCAGGTTACCCCCTCCCCCATGTGCCCTGGCTGGTCTCCCCCAGTCACCCCTACGGTGGCAGGACATCTACTCCTTCACCAGTAGCAGGATTGGGTCGCTGCTGCAACCCGACGTCACATTCAGAAAGCCAGTTCTTCCAGGACAGCTTCGCCCCAAACCCCCAGGCAGTGCCAACCGTGTTTATCTGCCCCAGGCACGAAGGGAGGATTGTAACCAAAGCACAAGTATTCTGCAGGAGGGGATCTGGAGCAGGACAGTTGATCCTGGGCAGATCCCCCGCACCAGGCTCTGTCCGCTGGGGGCCGGCGGGGAGGGAGCGAACCGAGGGGCCCGGGAGGGGGAGCTGCCGAAGGCGCGCACACTGACAGAGCTGTAACAAAGGCTTCCTGCAAAACTAGTACCAAGGATCTTTAAAGGATCACACACCTTGCAGGCGCGTCCCCAGCTGCCGAGACGTGGAGCCCCCGTTGATTGCTCCCCCGGCTTCGCAGACTTGCCCCTAGAGTTAATAGTGCGGGGCTGGCTGCCGGGCTCTCAGCCCGGGCCCCTGCGCCCCCACAGGTCCCCGCGGGCATGGGTAAGTGACTGCGCCTGGGCCCGCAGGGCCTCGTCTAAAGCTGTTCCCTGGGCGGCTCTGCTAGGCGGTGGCCTTGTTGGGCAACATGCCTCGCCCTTGGTTGCCTGGGAAGGTCGTGGGCTGCAGTCTGTCCTGACGATACAGGCCCTGAAGCCTTCCTGCCGGGCAAGAGGAAGAGCAAGAAGCTGGAGCTCCGGGGGTCGGTGGGGTGTCTCAGTCACCCCGGCTTTTGCAAGGAAAGGAGGCAGGCCGCCGAGGAAAGGATGCCGGCTTGACACACTGTTGGGCACGCACCGAGGCAAGTTGGGCATTTCCTCACCGCTAAGTCTGAGCACTCCGCCCCCGCCAAGGCTCCCCAGGGCCGGATCCTCCTCCACACCACTGCCCCCATCCCCGCCACCGCAGAACCCGGGCGGTGACCCCGCGGCCTGAGCAGCCACGACCTCCAGCTGCTGGGTAGGAACTGGTGGACAGTGATTGGCGACCCAGCACCCGGAGACAGGGAAGAGTTGAAATTAATGCAGGAAAGTGTGGGGGGGGGTACGGAAATCTCCCTAAAGACCCATAACTTCACCCCAGCGCCCCCACTGGGTTCTGAAAACTCTGGGTGCAGCTCCCACGTGCCTCCGAGTAGGTGGGAGAGGCATGGCTCCAGAAACTCAAGGGCCCAGGAGTGGGGCCCAGCACAGAAGAGACAGGAAGTGAGAAGTCCAGGGCCGGGTTTGGGGCTAGGAGCAGGTGCACGAATCCATCAAGCAGAGGAGTCCCTCCTCCAGGGACAAAGTGGGTAGTGAGAATGCAACTTTGGGAGAAGGGTTAGATGTGGGACTAAAATATGGTCAGTGACTTCCTCTATTTCATCGTGTCCCCATTCTTTAATTCAACCCAGGGGAAACCCAGAGGATCGCAGCAGATCTCAGCTTCCAGCTCTGGCACCCACCTGCCAAACATCCCAGTCCCCTGAGCTACCCAGAGCCAAGGTCAGCCAAAGCTCCGTTCAAGCCCTCAGGCCTGACCTTCAGACACCTTGCCATCTCCCCCCTCGCCCACAGGCCTGGGGTGGGCAACGGCTCCCATCTCACAAAAGGCCACTCCCTTGGGGCCTGCTCTGAAATTGCAGCCAGCCAGTCTGGATTGGCAGAGGCAGCAGGAGGCAATAGGTGATTCAAGCCCCTACCCCTGCTACAAACAAGTCCAAATGAGATGCATTTTGGCTGATCAGTCCACTGGATTTTATGCAGCTTAACATGTCTATGTCTTGTCAACTCTTCTAGTTGGAAAAATAGCAGAAAAAAATTTTAAAGATTATGTGTGTGGGGGGTGGGAGGGTTTCCAACTACAATTTCATACAGAGAGATGGGGTGAGGGTGGGGACAGGGAGCAGTTTACTGACAGGAGCAACATTATGTAAACCCTCCTAAAATGCAACATTAAGTCACAAAGAAAAAAAGGAAAAGAGGTAGAGGCTATGGTTGCTGAGAAGAGACCCTGATGAAATTAGGTGGATTCCGGCCAGGAGAAGTTTAAAGCTATGACATTTCTTTTTGAAAAACAAACGCATTTGTATTTCCTTGGGTACGGGGAACAGGTCAACCTCCTTCTCCAGCTCACCTGACACTGAAATAATGTGTAGGCCCACCTAGGGGCATGTCCAGGAGGCACTAAGAAGGAATAGGTTTTCTGACACAATGGAGGCCCTCCCTATACAGTGTTTGTTCTCCTCTTTACATGTCAATTTTCAAACAACTTGTAAGTTGAGGAAAACTGCCACTAGCTCTTACCAGATTCTCCCACCAGGTGTCCTGACAAAGCAGGACCTCTCAGACCTGAGTTATATAGGCCTCCTATAAGTAAGGGAAGAAGGTGCCAGGTTCTAGGAGAGAAATAGCTTCTGGTGGTCTGCCCTAGTCCTGCTTGTGCAGTTTCTCCAGGCATTTTGAGAGAGCTCTGGTCTTTCAGCACAGAGCCCTGGAATTCCTACAGGACAGCTGAATGAGATCACTGGGACAATAAACCTAGGGCCAGCTCCACCCTCTATCCGTTTCCTCTCCTCACAGGTATTTGTTGTCTCCGGCTTGTCTGCAGAGGACCCATGGAAGGGGAACAACTGATTTTCTTTGTCCTGTTCCCAAGCCCTGCCATGCACTCCCCATCCCCAGGCTTAGGGGTTGGCAGGGCCTAAACTGGAGTTGTTTGCTGGGAGTCCTTGTGGGGAGTTTGGGGGGGGGGGGGCTTTGTCCCCGCCTCTTGCCCCCTCTTTCATGGGGACAGCAGGGAATTTGTTCTCAAGGAGCCTCTGGGTTCTCTGAGTTCTCAGGGTGCTTCTGGGTGCTTAGGAGCAGAAGGGAATCTGTTGTTGACACATGGAGCTCTCCTATTTAGATCCATCTCTGGGGTCAGCTGCCCACTTAAGCTGTACTGGCTCCACTCTCAGGACTCAGGGTCACACAAAGTTGCCAACAGCATGGGCCAGGCCAAAGAGGTTTTTCCCTAGGAAGCCACTGAAAGGAGAATACCTCAGGCCCATTTCATTCAAGTGAAGGTTTTGGACCCTTCAAATGTGGGAGGTAATCCCATGCCATCCTGTTACCTGTGGAGGATTCCACCCCTGCTGTATTTCTTGGCAGGCTGAGGTGTGAGATGCCCCACTGCAGGGCAATTAACTCTGACAAAATAGAAATGGGGAGGGGGCTGTGTGCTTCACATCAAGAGAAGAGGCCACCCAGTGCTCAGAAAGTATCAAAACTTTTATGCTGCTTAGCAGAGGAGCTGTGCGTGTCTCAAGCAGCTCAGGTTTCTGCCATGCAGCCTGGGCATTTCCATACCGGCCTGGTAAATACATCAGAACAAGATGCGGTGCTGCCACCATGGGCTCCCTTCCAGGGGAGGAGGTGATAGGGAGATGGCAGGAGCAAGAGACTTGAAGTTCAGTTCCCCAAACACCCCCAGTGTACTGACAGGCCAGTATGAAGGGCTGAAATATGGGACAATGAGCAGAAGTGACCTACATGGAGATAAACCGCTGGCTCTTCCAAGCGCCCTGTTGCTTAGCCTGCTTCTTCGCGGTGACCGGTGACCCAAGAGCCCCTGCTAACTGCTCCCTGCTGTCTTCTTGCTGTGGACACCAACAGCAGTTTATTCCCTCCTGTCCTCCATGCCTCCTCCCTGCAACCCAGAACTGAGAGCATGGACTTCCGTTTGGGATAAGAAAGGGTGTCAATAGAGGCCAGGAGGGGTGGCAAATCATCTTCAGTAATAAACAAACCCCGCCACACAGCAGCCTTTCAACCAATAGACTATTCTCTGTAATCTTTTCTTTTCAGTCACTCAGCTTATGACATGTTAAAGCTATTTCAACCCATGAGCAAAAAGAAAATTTTAAATGTAGACCAAGTTCCTTATTTCTTCTTTGCTGTCTGGGTTCGCCAGCCTTAACTTCCTCACCCCCCAGCCAGCCTGATAGCCATTACCCCATATGAAGATTTAAAACGCTTGTTCCTAAAAAATCGTCCAGGGTTTTCTACATTACCAGAGTAACTAGAGAGAGAACGAACCCCACTCCATCCCAATTCTGCATCCAAACCAAGTACAATATATTGTAACCACCATCATTAATTACACTCCCCATAACTTGACAGAGCCAGAAGGGAAGACTCCACTAATTACCAGCAGTAGCAATAAACTTTACTGAAAGAAGTAAGTTCAACATTGACCATGGATACCTACTGGAAAACTCTTTGAAAATATAATCTCCGGTCTTTTTACCACCTATTTTGGGGGAGGAGTGCTGTAAAAAAAATCTCAGGTAGCAGAATTTTAAAAGAGCTTGATTACCTTGATCAGACTTGGAGTCCTCAACTCCAGTCATTAGCAATAAAGTCATTAATAGTCATAATTGGTATTTAATTGCTCGATCTGATTGGTGCTTTATTCCTGACTCGATTTAGTTTCCTTAAGAAGTACAGGTGGTCCAGAATCGGTAAAGGGAAGCCAGCCATTTGCAGGCAACTTTTCAAGCAGAAGGGAAAGTACTTTTGTTATATTTGCAGACATGTGTCTCACACATTTTTTTCCCTGCTTTTGGTAAACTATCTAAGAATAAACATTACAGATCTGGGTTTTAATTTCTCCAGATGGGATCATAAAGTACCTAGGAGGGTGTGTGTGTGTGTATGTGTGTGTGTACACACCCGCACTATAGAATTGAGGACACATGGCTGCTGTTCACACTGAAAGGCCAAAAGAAACTCAATGCGAAAGCAGAGAGGACTGAACCGCCAGTGGAATCGAGTATCTGGGCAAGTTCACTTTATTCCTTCGCAGGAAGAGGGTCAGCAGCGGCAATCGAAAGTTTCCCCGGGTCTTTGAAGAGGGAAGCGGCGAGGCCGGCCAGACCTTCCCACGCACTGGCCTCCTGGGCTTTGAGGCTTTCGAGACCTTTCTTCCCTCACCACCACATACACACTTCTGTGCTCCGAGACTTGGTTTCAACCTGGCTCCCCCCTTCAAAAGCCTACCGGAGAATTTCCTCTGCAAGGGTGCGCTGCGCCCACTGGCTTCGCCCTCCCTCTCCTCCACCCTGCGCCTCCTGTCCGCTCCCCTGCGCTCTGGACTCACCCGGCGCGGTCCTTCCACTCCACACACAGACAGGAAACCGGCCTCATTCGGGACAACATTTGAAACCACATTTTATCAACACCATCAAAGACCAGAGCGCGCACTTAGAGCTCTGAGCTTCCGAGCCCGCTTCTTGCAGAAAACCGGGCATGGGGGAAGGGCCGCAAGGGCGAGAAATCCTGCCTCCAACTGCGATTTCAGCTTTCTTATGGAAATGAACGCGACGGCCCGCTCGCCCCGAGCCCAGCTTCCCGGCCCCCCTTCTGCCAACCCTTTCCTCCCGCCCTCGCCACCCCCAGGTCCTCGCGGCTGCCGTGCCGGTGTGGCCGCGCTCGCTCCGCGCCCCGGCCGCGGCGCGCGCGGAAACCGGGCCGGTGGGCTCCCCTCCGCCCGGCCGGCCGCGCTCCGCATTAAATATTCATGGAGAGCGCTACTTTCTTAAAGGCGAACCTACCGCGCGGGAAAGTTCACAGCCAAGGGGAGGCACAAAGGAAGGTCTCCGCTCCTGCTTGTTCTCCAGGTTGGCGAGACGCATCCCATCTCTTTGGCTGTGCGCGCTCAGACTGACATTAAGGAGAGAACCAGGGGATGGCATCGCCTATCGTCAAGTCAGTTTTTTTGGAGGGGGTGGAAGAAGAGGTGAACTTGGTGACGGAGAGAAACCTCACCCTCTAATCACTGGTTAAATAGTTATTTTAAAATTAGCTGTCGCATCTGACGCCCTAGGGTCCCCAAGGGATTTTTAAAAAGGGAGGCTGTTGAACTTAACTTGGGCTGCACTGGCACTGGGGGCGAGAAACTTTGCCCTGTGTTGTTGGAAACACACGCACGCAGTACGCTTATGAAACCCTACACTGAACACCGCTTTAATTGGAGCGGTTCAAACAGCAACCACAGAACCTGCACCTGCCCCATTCTCTTAAAAAACGAGCACCGGGATGCTGAGAGCTGGGGCTGTAAATCAGGGCGGAGAAAGGGCTGTCGCGTGCGCATTATCCAGGCTCGCGTCTGCGCCCCAGTTCTCCCCTCGGCACGTCTGGGATCCCTTTTCTCCCGCTCCCCAAGGCCACGGACGGGCCGCCAGGCTTCTCTCCCGGAGCGCCACGGGGTCCAGTCGCGGGCCGAAGTGGGACAAGGGAGGGAAAGGCGCAAGTTCTCGGCCGGTGGTGCGGAGCCCCTCCTGCCAGCGCGTCCCCGCCCGGGGCCCGGCTGAGCCCTGGCCGGGCCACGCGTGGTGCCAGGCGACACCCGCGCCCTGCGCCCGGCCCCGCGCGCGCACTCGCACTCACACACACTCACACTCACACCCCACGGCTCTTTTTGTTCCGGGCCAGGAGCACTTTCACAAGTGGTTAGAAAGTCTTGAGCGCCATCTAACGGGAGCAGCAAAAAGTTGACGCTGGGTGGAAGTTAGGACCGACCCAGCGTCCAGGCTGGGCGTGGAGGGTCCTCTGCCCCACTCTCCCCGCACTCTGGGCCTGGATACCCCTCTCCCTATTGCCGCCACCAAACACACATACCCTCCGGAACTCCGGAGCTTCCCGAAGCCCACCTTCCCAGGAACCGGGGGCAGCTCCCACCTGCCCACCCAGGGACTCTCCCCTGCACCCCTGCCTTGGCCTTCCTCAGAGTGGAAGGATCTTTTTGCACCTGTCTTGATAAGGCCCTACTGTCCTTCAAGTTCTATCTCTTTTTCCTTTTGGTCAGTAATGGAAAGTCCTAAGAAGCCCTGGGCAGGTGCACCTGTTTTCTGAAAGGAACAGCCACGTAGTGAAGGGGTCTGCAGCCAGAAGAGATCCCAGAGGAAGGAGAAGGGAGGTGAAAGAACATAAAGGTATTCTGCAGAAGTTATGTGCTGAAAAAAAAAAAAAAAAAAAAAAAAAAGGTGACAAAGCTGTGCGCAGGGAGATTAGTCCAGCAGTGGCCCCAGGGGAGCTGGAACCTCTCTGTCTACTGGAGGGAGGCGTTGTGTCCTGACGAGCTGTCCTGGGAATTTGGGGGCTGCTGTTTGGAGCAGCCTGACAAGTGATGAAGCCCAGGAGGGACTCTGGGAGGAGAACTCAAGCCAGGCACAGGGTAGAGGCGAGGGGGACTCGCCCACGTGGGAGGTGGGCTGGAGCTTGAGGAGGCCCAGGCGCCCCTCCCCTCAGGGTTCTGGCCCGCAGTGAGGACTAGTGGTCCTGCGAGGTCAGGGGACCTTAGTGAAATTTGGGAAGGTGGCAGAAAGACTAGTGTCCCTGACCAGCTGTGCAACTAGGGAGGGAGGTGCCAATCAGGTCCAAACACCCCCTCCTGGGGCCCCACAGCTGCCATCTGCCCTGGGGACCTACTTCTATGCATGGAGGTGGGCCCTGCTGAGGCACCCGGAGGAGGCTGGGCAGGGCGGATTTGGAAGGAAAGCATGGATCTCACCAGTCCCTGCCCAGAGCTGTTACAGGACTGAGGCCAGGGCGGAGCCTTCCGCCTGCCTTCTGAGTTCATGCAAAGGAGATTCGAATACCTGTTTTCCTCCCTCGTAGATGTTTTGAGGGTAAAACATGTCAAATGTACAAAGTATTTTTTAAAATGTGAAATATACGTAACATACAATTGACCATTTTTATGACCCTTTTTAAGTGTATAGTTTAGTGGCATTAAGTACATTTAATTAATGGGCCACCATTACCAACATCCATCGCCAGAACTTTTTCATCTTGCAAACCTGAAACTCTGTGACCATGAAATACTTCCCATTTCCCACTCCACCCAGCCCCTGGCAACCACCATTCTCTACCTTCTGCCTCTATGAATCTGACTGCTCTAGGTGGCTCATGTTAGTGGAATAGTGCAATATGCATCCTTTTGTGACTGATTTATTTCACTTAACATAGCATCTTCAAGGTTCATCCGTGTTATAGCATGTATCGAATGTCCTTACTTTTTAAGGCCAAATAATATTTCAATGTATGTATATGCCACATTTTGTTTACCCATTCATCTCATGTGGACACTTGAGTCACTTCCAGCTTTTGGCATTTTTGAATAATGCTTTTGTGAACATGGGCATCAAATATCTCTTCAAATTCTTGCTTTCAATTTTTTTGGGTAGATACCCAGAAGTGGAATTGCTGGATCATATGGCAATACTATGTTTAATTTTTGGAAGAATATCCATACTGTTTTCGTCAAAAGCTGCACCATTTTACATTCCTATCAACAATGCACAGGAGTTTCAGTTTCTCCACATCTTCATCAACACTTGTTATTTTCTATTTTTTAATAGCAGCCACCCTAATTGGTGTGAAGTGATATCTCATTGTGGTTTTTTTTTCCTTTTTTAAATTTCAGCTTATTATGGGAGTACAAATGTTTAGGTTACATATGATTGTCTCATTATGGTTTTAAAACATTTTTACAAGTACAAATAGACAAACACAATGAAATAATACTAGGCAAATTAGCCATAGATTTTACAGCAAAGTGGAAATACCCCAATAATTATTTTAAATTTTAAATCTCTGACTTTTTTCTAAGAGACAGCTTCACTCTGTCTCCCAGGCTGGACTGCATGTCACGATCACAGTTCACTGCTGTGAACTCCCAACCTTGAACTCCCGGGCGCAAAAGAGCCCCCAGCCTCAGCCTCTGGAATAGCTAAGACTACATTCATGGGCCATCACACCCAGATAATTTTTTTTAATTTTATGTAAAGATGGGGTTTTGCTATGCTGCCCAGACTGGTAAATCTCTACCTTTTAACCTTTGAATCCACTTCTAGAAACAGAAAGAGGTGAAATGACTAAGACAGAGGGGCATACGGAACTAACACTATTTGATGATCATGTTTTGGCCCCTGACTTTAATCAGAAGCTGGGAAATCAAGGGGTTATATTATTAGTGAGCCCTACTCCTTTCTTTGTTTCTAGAAGGAGACCCGAGATTCACTCCATCAAGTATAGAGGACAGCAAAAAAAAAAAAAAAAAGTACTCTCTTCTTCCTGGATTCTTTGATACATTCATATTGAAATTGAAAGAGAAGCTAGTGCCCCAGACATTGGCCATGTGGGTGACTGATGGAAACTTTGAAGTCCTTTTCCAAGAAAAGGGCTGAGAAATAGCTATTCTGCAAGCAGAAACGTTGTCATTCTATCCCTGAAGTCCCTGGCTTGGGAGCTGACTCAGGTACGAAGCGTGCCTCTACCTCCTTACATGGCTGTATTTGTCATAAACTCATGCCAGCTTCATTTAGTATTTATGTGTAGTGCTTCTGCAAAATGCTCTATAATCCTCCTCCCCGCCCCCATTTTTTTATATTAGTCATGCCTAGGGAGACAGGTTAGTGCTTTTATTTCCCACTTTTTAAGTGCAAGTATCCAGAGTGTGCACAAAGTAGTAAACGTAAACGAGCGTGGAGACAGGGTCGTGGCCCAGGCTGCCGGCCGGAGCTTTGACGCGGCCCATTGAACCACACTGTTTCTTTCATCTGACAGGACGGTTGGCACAGGGCAGAGATGAGAGAAACCAGAGCAGCAAGCCTTGGCAGAGACCTCGACCTCCCTTCTGCCACCAAGCCAGCTTTGCCACTTAGTGAACCGCTAAAGCTTTGTGGTATTTTGTGCTTCAGGGTTGGGGGGGCACAGAAGAAAGGGGCAGGGTGCTGCAGAGGCAGCTCCTAACACCTCTTCCTGCCCCCCCCCCTTTAACTGCTGTGCCCACTCCCAGGGAGAGGGATGCAGTGCCCGTCAGGAGCTCCATAACTTAAGACAAAAGAAAAAACCATGACCGTGGTACACATGTACATACACGCATGATCATTTACTCTCCCCTTGTTAAAGCTACTTCCAGAAGAAAGAGAAGAGTACAGAAGGGTTATGTTCTGGGGGCGCTGGGACCCGGAGACCTCTCAGCATTCTGAAAGGGCTTTGTAGTGCTTGGATCCATGCCATTTGTTTCTAGAGAGAATCGTGTTGGGTAGGAGTTTGCTTTTTCCATTTGCAATGGCTTATTGAGTATAAGCATCTCTCTTCTCTCTGTTTACTGAGTGATTAGCTCTCCCTCCAACTGACCCTGCCAGGGGAGATAGCCAAAGTGCATCCTTAACACACAGTTACCCTGCAAAATGTCCTTCCTATAAACCCAGAGACCACAGACAGGACACTGTGGTTCATTGTGGTGCTCTGTTTTTGTAGTCTGCAGTGAGGATCTCCACCCATATTTACATGGCTCCTTTCTTGTCACCTTGCAAAGAGAGAGAGAGCAGAATCTGGCTGAGACAGAGGCAAGAGAGTGATGAGCCTTCTGCATGTGGCCTGGCTAGGAGGCCA